ACGTGTCCAGGGGGGTTTGAATGTCTCCAGAGAAGGAGACTCCACAGCCTCTCTGGGCAGCCTGTCCCAGGGCTCTGTCAAACCACATGGAAACTCATTGATGAGGTCACCCGTGCCCTGTGTTTCAGCAAAGAATCCAGAGGCAGTGTTCCCCCTGGAGCTCGGTATTGAAGGTTTCATTTTACTCATCCCTAGGTGTGAGGGACCAGCCCTCAGGACCTGTGCTTGCTGGAATTGGTGTGGAAACCCCACCTGAATCTCCCTGGGTTGCCCTGCTCGGGTCTTGACACTAGGTTTCCAGCATTCACTGGGCTGCAGGTGTTTGTATGGCCAAGAGCTCTGGGCTTGTTTACTTCTCTGTGGTGGGTTTTCATGGCTCTTGCAGCAATTAAGGCTAAACATACACAGGACTGCATTGGTAAGAGCACCACTGGTAGGCTGAGGGAAGTAGTTATTTCCCTATACTGGGCAGACCTGAGGTCTCATCTAGAATTCAGAATCCAGTTTTGGGCCCCCAGCATGAGACAGATGTCAACAAACTGGACAGAGTCCAGTGGAGGGCTACTGGGATGGTGAGGAGGCTGGAGTACTGGATGTGCAGGGAAAGACAAAAAGCTGGGTTTGGTGTGAAGAAGAGAACCAAGGTGGGATCTCATTTCAATCTCCCATTATCTAAAGGTTATTACCTAGAAGAAGGAGCCACATTCTTCTCAGAGGTGTACAGGAGAGGAACAGGAGGCAGCAGCCACGGGTGGCAGCAAAGAACTGTTGACTACATACAATGAACCCAGCTGGGAGCAGGAAGCTGGACTGGAGACCTCCAGGGGTCCCTTGCCATCTAAATATATCTGTGCTATTTTGTGGTTCTATGATTAAGGCCACCTTTAGGCTCTTATGAATATTTTTATTTAGCTTGTTTTTTGTGTACTTATTTCTTCTCTTTAAACATCTTAATACCCACCAAGTCTTAAGTTGTTAGAAAGACTTGCTTGAATTCTTAGACTGATTCAACAAAAAGTCTAGAGAGAAGGGAGGGATGAGGTCAGAAAGAAGAAGATGTGTTGATCCTTAAGTGGGAACTGAGAGCTACCTGTTGTGTGGAGGTGAGTTACCAAGTTAGATGAAGTATGTGACTGTAGCAGAGACTAAGTGTGGGTATCAGCTGTAGCTAGGTGAGCTGGCAAGGCATGGGGGACCATGGCTGCTCCTGCAAGGAGACTACCAAGCTCTCCATCCCTGCATCGAGGCATAGATTGCAAAAAGGAAGCCAAACCAGGTAAATGATCTAGCAAAAGCAGTGAAGGAACCGCACTGCCCCAAAAGCAGGCAGTTCCCATGTCAGGACACCCTCGGGGAAGACCTTCCCTGTTGGTTATACAAGGTGTACAAGGAGCTCTGCTCCCTGGGATTCATCCACCGCCCCTCAGACAGAGACCTCCAAGGGGCCTCTTGTGGCCACAGTGGCTGAGCCAGGAGGGGCCAGGGAGCCAGTTGAGAGGCTTTGGGGCAGCTCTGAAGCATCCCACCTCCAGGCCAGGGTGAGGAGGCAAAGGCTGGAGGATGCTGGGGCTGTGAAGGGGAGCTGGAGGGTGCAGTGAGAGCACTGACAGCACAGAGACAGGTCAGGAAAGGCTTTATAGGCATAGCTTAGCTTGCAAGGCAGGAAGTTCAAAGCTGGGAAAGCTGCTAGAAACATGCATGAGGCAGAGTGCTAGGGCTGTAAAGTGTGGCAGAAAAAGTAGAATAAAGGAGTGTGGGGGCATCAGGCCAGGCTGGGTGGGGCTCTGAGCAACCTGGTCTAGCGGGAGGTGTCCCTGACCACGCAGAGGGGTTAGATCTACATTTAAGGTCCCTTCCAACCCAAACCATTCTATAATTCCATGATCAGAAAGAGGGGAAGTCAGAGAGCATGGGGGGCTGTGCAGAAAACTTCAGCTTCATCTAAAGCAAGAGAGGCTCCACTTAAACCGAAACAGCATCTTGCTGCTGACACCTAAAGTAAGAACTGCTTTCAACTAAGACTGGGGAAAATCCAACAAGTATAGATTAGCATAGTCTGTGAGTGGAAGCATCCAGAACACAAGAACACCATGTCCTCAAGTGAAAGGTCAGACAGAAGCTGACAGAGCTCAAGAGACAAGCAGTGGGAAGTGAGCTGAACAAACCAAACCCTGTTTTAACGGAGTATGGGGGAACACTATGGATGTTACCAACTGGGAAAACTGGATAAGGGAAATAGAACTGATAAATAGTGGGGATGTGGAGGAGAGATCCAAGCCCAAGGAGATCAGGATCCCTAACAAAAAGTATTGACATGGGTTTTCAGAGGAGCCAGTAGGGTTAGCCAGTGGAATGGTCACTCAGCTCCAGCTGGTAATAGAAACATCCTGCCACAGGTAGCATGATAGACTGAAGGCTGGAATCATAATGGGATTGAACTCAAAAGCAGTGCAGGAATAATTGTGTACAATATTTATATGTATTCTGTGCAATATTAAATATAATATATCAGAGGATAATTTATTATTGAAATTAATTTAAATGATCTGAGCACATGAAGCTATCAAAGAGTAGATGAAAACAGCAGCTCTGCATTTACAAGGAAATCAGGTCACCATGACCAGCAATCTGACAGCTAGGAAGATGCATACATACACAACTTCTGAGAAAAGCAGGTGCAAGAGCAAGGCAGCAGCCAGATGCACAGTCAGAGAATACTTGTGGCTTGCCCTGTGTGAAGCAGAAAAGCCATCCCAGCCCCAGGGAGTATCTGCATGAGCTGTTTTGTGTGAAAATACTGAAATGAGGGAGCCAGGCGATGTGATGGGAGATCACTTCTAACAAGAGGCAGTAGCAGTGACCAAGTGGTTTGCTGGACTACTCTGTAAAGAAAGGCTCAGCAAGAAGGCATCTGTATATGCAACTCACTTGGAAGAAACCTGCATAACTGAGAACTGTGTAGGGCCCTAGGTGAGATCCATCCCTGAGTCCACAGCAGAAACCTCGTCCCTTCTGTGAACACTCAAGTTGCCTGCCCCAGTGGAACCAGCAGGAAAAGTCAGACCCCTCTCCAAAGTGTATCTAAAAGTTAAAAACAGGGTCAGTGCTGGATTAAAGGTATGTTGGGTCATTAAACTTTATCTAAAACATGAATGCAATGGAACAGGTAAAAATGAATTAGATCGCTGAATCACACCCTATCATTTTGGTTTGGCTGGGAATCTCTGTCTCACTGTCATCACAGGGCTGCAGTTTGTTTTTTGCCTTGTTGCTGCAGTTTGGTTTTTGCCTTGTTGCTGCCATGTTCTTGAGTGAAACCACACAGCCAGAGCACCAGGGTTGGGTGAACTGCTGACCTGGTGCAGCTTGGCAGATGCAGATTGTGGCTCCTTGCTTTTCTGCTGCTCCTTGTGGTTTCAAGCGTCTTGGGTTCCTGGTTTATTCACACCGACCTTGTGTTTCTGTGGCAGATTTCTGCTGTATGATGTTTACCACCTACTTTTTACAAGTCAGCGGGGAAAATGGGTTGCTTTCAGCTAGTTTCTTTTGTACTCTTTCTTCTCATGCGTGCCACTGCCTGTTTTCCCCCTGTCTCTCCATCTCCCTCTGCATCCCTCCAGGTCAGATCACAGGCAATGCTGCTCTGGAGTTTCCAGATCCCAGTGAACAAGGCTCTGCTATGTTAACTAAGCAAGCTGCTCTCATTAGCAGATGCCTGTAGCAGACTCTCAGCCTCCTTACAGGAAGCCCTGCTGTATCTGATGGTGGTACTCATAAATTAAGTGGTGTCAGGGAATGTCCCCAGGCATTGGAACAGACACATCAGTCCTGTTAAATTGCTAGAACATTTCCAGACACATTTTTGGCCCAGGACAACTCTGGCTCTCCTGTGCAACTCCCAGGGTGCCTTTAGGTGTTAGCAGGGGCCAAGGACCACTCCCATCAGCCAGCTGGGATGCAGCCAGTTCGTTCTGGAGGTTAAGTGAGTGTAATAGCCCAGACCATCTCATGCCAGTTTGCCTCTGTGCCAGAAGCAGCCCAAGCATACCTGATTTATTAGCACATCTAGCAACAGCGGAGGGAGGGCTCCCTCCCAAGTCAACATTGATTTCCATTTAATTTTGACTTCCTCCTCTTATTCAACTGGTTTAATTTCCTTCTGTTAATAATCTGTGGCTCTCTGAGGGGTAGGAGGAAGAGAGCTGAGGCAGTGAGCAGTCTTCCTCCAGGGAATGCTGCCTGCGGGAGCAGCTCTGGCCTGGAGAGCATCTGCTTGCTTGGGAGAAAGGCCATCAGCCCCTCGGCTCCCTCCAGCACCGAGCCAGGGCTGCAGAGACCTCTCCCCTAGGCTGGCACCAGCATCACACAGGAGGAAACTGAACAAAAGCAAAAAACCCCACCAAAACCTCAGAG